CTGTTTGACTCGTGCAAACTTATGTCTTGAACCAAACAATCAAGAGAACTAAGAAATCAATAACTTGGAAAAGAAATCAAACTGTGATTCCACATTCGAGAAGGTCATGTGCTCTCATCCAATCACCCATGGCATACCGCCGGTTTTCTGTGTGCAATATCCAAGATAGAAATGACTCAACAGTTCGGAAAAATGAACGTTCTTACATGAGCTGATTGAATCGAGCAAGGCTGAGCACTTATTCGTCATGATTCCCTATTTTATCCTCTGTGTAGCTCCAAATCCCTACAAGTAGACCTGGGAGACACATGAACTGTATGTATCATAAAATCAGGGTCATTGGAATCCCTGATGTTTTATGGTTCCACCACAGCTCAGATAAGGCAATTTTACAAACAATGTACGACCGATTTGATCACTGAATCAGTCTGTTTTAAAGACAATTTGATAGCATTTGCGCAGACCACTTCAATGACCAATGCTTCTGGTTTCATATTACTGACCATTTATAAGTAAAATAATGAATTACTGTACATTTTATGCTTCATTTTGTACAAAATTTGGAACAAAGTATAAGGAACTAGGATAACTAAACTAGACCCGAATGGGTATCTCTCAAACATCTTGCAAACCGATTCGCGGTGGAGAGTGACACAAATCTCGTCCTGAAGTCATCTCTCAGCGATTCGGAATATCCGAAACAGAAAATCTTGAGTGCACGGTTCGGGTATATACGGTGACCTATGTGTGCAACGTATGCGAGGATAACAGGGGAAATTGATCCCAGTCCTCCAGTGTGGGTGCAGTTTCGCATCCAGACGGATATTTTCAAAGAGGGAATTCGTCGTGCATAGAGCAAGTGAAGCGTGGACCACAAAGCTAGGAAGCGCGGAACAGTTGTTTCGATCTGGTTGGGACTCATCAGCAGTTCGAATCCATTGACCTAACCGGGGATAGAGCCCCAGACCTCACTGACAAAACACAAGCATGCTAGCCACTCAGCCACCGGGCAGCTTGTCAGACCGTTTCTAATATTATATCTACACCATATAGCACAACCCATCTCGGCGAGCTTGTTGCTTGCTGGTTGAAGGGCCTCTGGCCTCGCTCATCACAGCATTAGTCATATAGTGTAAGTGAAAAATGAAAGACGGGTGATTGTCGAAGCAACGTGGAATGAATAACAAGAGTCGAATAATTTTTTCGAAGCATAATTAAATTTGCGGTGATATATATTGTGGTGATAGTTCTTTCTCACTGCTCACTTGCTCTAGTTACCACAAGTTTGGTGAGTAGGCGAATCGTTTTTAAAATTCAGTGAGAACGATAAAAACAAAACAGTCTATATTTTAAAGCACTTGGTGGGGTATGGGGTAAAACATATTTTTGTACATCATATTTATCCGGTCCGTGTTTTTTGCTAATGATCAAATAACTCAAATAAACCAAATATGATCATCATGTAGAAACTAACGGACGTTCTTTTTCCCAAATGGGTAAGAGGCATGGGGGTGAATCATATTTAATAAGGTGAACGATTGATCGTATAGAAAAATTACCGGTTATCGAACCTTTCACAGTGACCACTTCAAGTCTCCTTCGGTAAACTATTACAACTCCGTTTACCTGTTACATGCATCAATATGTTTCTATCGGAAAAACATTGATATCCGGACAAATAACAACTCCCCAAATCTAATTCATATCCAACTTTCTTCATTTTTATCTGTCCCCATCCTTCCCTCGGTCTCTCCTCGACTTCGCGATCGATCCCAAATCCCCTATATGCCAACGGCCAGATGTGGCACAGTGGAATCGACATCTCTCTCATTCCGTTGATGGTTTGTATCCGGCCTGTGTTGTTCTGGTTTGATTGTTCAATTTGCCAGTTTTGTTTTGTTTTGTTTTGCACATTTTATTTACCACTGCAATCATGCTTGTATAAATCGATCCGTCACGTGAGATTACGTTGCTTTCAATCATCTGGCTGATTATCACACTATCACCGTTCTTCTGAGTAATTATGTTGGTCCATTAAATTCAGTAATCTTATTCTGTCTCTCTATCTGTTTTATTCATTCATTTATTCATGCATTTCAGCAACAGTTCTTAAAACTTCTGAGACTACTTGATTCAGAGTTCTTGCCACATTTGGAAGTTTAGTCCCCACAGGGTTTTGGAGCAACCCAATTTCAAAAACTACCTGAACTATGATGGCAATCATTGGTCCAGTCCCGTTTGGAATCAATTTGCAATATGCCCTATAAATAGCGGCAAAGATCATTGAGCAAATTATTTCACAAAACTTTCCCGAGAAGATTTTCCTTCAAAATTGCTATTCATTGAGATAAAACAATATAGACCGTGTAAAATTTCAGACAAGAAGGAAAGGTTAATTACTGCATCCCAGTTGTAGTCACCTACAAAGCATACCCATTTATGTTTTGATGGGACTCGAACCAAAACCGTTCGGATCTGAACCTGAAATCACAACTGCCAACACCATGAACATCAATATACAGATATTGTGAGTTCTGGTGGAATCATCAGAAATACTGTTTACACGGAAATGACCTGGTATCCGCAGCAATAACAGCAACGATCCCAAACGATACCGATCCCGAGTTCGATCTCAGACGCGCACGAAGCAAGAATCCTCTAGTGAACATCGCAGTTTCAAATCACTTCTGGATCGATAAAGTAGCGGTAACTCGAGTTGGTCGTTTATATTAGTGATTTTCATTTTGTAGAAACGAATCGAAGATGAAGAAATAAATACTCTAGCGTGGGCATCCCAAGTTGTGTTCGAATGATGACAACACTAAGACTGTTGGTTCATCTCAAATAAATATTCTTCCGAAATTAAGAAAATTGTTGATTGCAAGGTGATTGTTTTGTCATCTTGAAATGATTTTGTTGTTAGTTTTATGTTATACAATCCGAGGTTATAAGGCTGTACAGTTCTGGGCTGTTCACTGTTGAGATACTACTCAAAACACAACAGTGGGCTACCATAATTCAAGTCCAGTCAAGCAGATACTTTATGCACCCCGAGAGGTGAATTAATATTCATCAGCTACATAGTCAAAGTAGAACCACTGAACAAGTAAAATTAGACCAGAATTATGGAAAACAAAGTAAAACAAGACATTTACACGATATGAGTAATTTTAGTTCAAAAAACGATGCGCTTCTGGTTACAGAGGAAAAAATTGGGCATGACAAGGTACCACAGAAGATCGGGAGGCGACTGTGCGAGCAGATATAGAGCTATATTGAAATCGGGTGGAAGAAGACGATATACACACTTCATAAGATATGCTTGTAACGGATGCCCTAATAGACACCCAAACTGTACCCTGTCACCAAGCTAACCATCTTAACAACATCAGTTTGTCAAGTAAATTGTGTTATCTAACTGTATCGCAAAGCTAAATTAAGCAATGAAATTAGCTGCTTGAAATACCCAACTTGTGCTTTTTGGTGTTCAATTTCGGTTGGCCAAATTACAAGTCACGTGAAGGTTTTAGAATCCACGCACATATTCCACCGCGTACCTGAGTTCCCGTACACATTGAAATTGAAAGGTAATTCTTAGTTGCGGATCTAGTTGAATTATACTTTTTTCGTCATCAAAAGTTAATTCATTAGCACTGAGTTTGAGAGCGAATTGGTTAGCAACCTTTTTGTGTCAAGGTCATTTGTGACATGCACTTGCTTCATTCGTTGGTTGATCATCAATTAGTTGGTCATAGACAGTAGCTGATCACAGTATTGTTTCGCACTACGCACCGATCATCATCATCATCATCATCATCATCATCATCATCATCATCATCATCAACAACAACAACAACAACAACAACAACAAATTCATCGACAGATAAATACCCCATCATTTATGACGCACACTGGTTTAATTTGGTCATTGATTTACCCGTCTCATCCTGCTTTTGTTCATATTTGTACTTGACCTTCGATTGACGATTCTGTTTTTAATACTCTTTTTCTTTCTTCGTCATTATTTCATTTGTATGGTTGCATGCCTGCTTGCTTGTTTGCCTGCTTGCCTGTCTGCCTGTTTGCTTGACCGTATGTGTGCCTGCCCACCCGTCCGACTGCCTGCTACCCCGTCCCCTCGTCATCTGTTTGCTTGCTTGCTTGCCCGTTCACGGGTCCGCTTGCCCACGCACACATGCACGCACGCATGCACGCACACACACACATAAACAGGTGATCGAAGTCGGGCGTGGATGGAATTGGAACAGGCAAGATCCACACTACCTCGTACGGATTTGCGAGATCAGCTTGACACGGTAGACAATTTGCTTACTGAGCTCAAATCTCCATCCGTCCCAAGCCAGTTCGTAATGCCTGAAGGTATCGTCGAATCCGTCACTGTTACTCCACCACCCGCAATCTCATTATTAGTTCGCTGTGTAATCTATTCCCTTCTTGGCTAGCTTCTGCGTATTATTTGGCCTCTTCCCCTTTTTGTGTCGTACCCTAGCTCTAGCCCTGTCGCTGTCTCTCTCTTTCTGTGTATGCGTGAGTGTGGCCGTTTAACCACAGAGCCCGCAGTATTTTGGGTAACGCAGCTATTCCAATTCCTTTAGCTATATAGTCCTCTGAGTTGCACATACACACACACACACACACTGAACGTGGTTGCTTCTGCCGGTTGCTGTTGTTGTTGTCGTTGTCGTTGTTCCCTCCACGATACATGAAGCGTACAGTCCGAAATATAGCGAACTAACGAAGAAGGTAATCTCGAGTAACTTGGCGCTTTAACACCGAATGGTGGAATAACAAAAGACCCCAATAACCTAACTTTATATGATCAGCTCCGGTANAACGCGTTTGTTGATTGCCAAAATGAAATTGAGCCATAGTCAAACTGTAGTTTGTATTTCGTAACAAATCCCTTCACGTTTTCGTTTTGTTAGTTTCTTCGCAGTATAACTGCCCTATCCAATGGCAAATTGTCGAATCTGATCCACATGCAACTTCCTTGATTACTCTATACAAGATGTGTGCTTGAGACGGTGGATAGCAGAGGCCTCCTGCTCTCCGGTTATGAAAAGCATTAACTGACCATGATTCCCGCAGATGACCAAAATGTTGTGCAAATTCAGCTGTCAGTTTTCGACCAACCTCACAGTGCTTTGCCAGTGGGCTTCGTTGAATCGTGTTTGTAGATGGACCCATCCACTTCCGATTTCATATCACTGATTGGGAAATATGGAAAAAATGATAGGGAACCCTTTGAGTTATTTTCCGATAGCCGGATATTTCTTGCTACATTTCATCGTCAGATCTATCACTGTATCGAGTGGAAGACAGGCAAAATAAAACAATCAACACTGAGCACGATATGGAAAATGAAGTCTGTTAGGAAAAAGCATACCACCTGCTGACCCACTCACCCGCTATCCATTACTTCATCTTTCTTTCTTTAACCGCTCTCGGCTAATCCAATCTTGACTGACTACTTGGCTAGCATTCAGTTTATCCTGAAGAGAAATATCCGCTTTCAGGGTATCTGTTTTCCACCAATAATAACCGACTACTTGTTACCATATTCGTTTCCACTCTCTGCCACTGACTGTAGTTTGTATTGCTATATGTTTTCCTACGCTCAACCTTGCCCACTCCACACACGGATACATGCGCAGATATTACACGTTGACTCTAATTTTTATTCCAGCACGACCGTATCGAGCCGTCAGTCAGACAAATATAACCGGTCGACAACCGATGCAACGAAACCAGTGGATTTCCGGTAAGCTGTTCCTCCCCCAACTCAGCTTTTCTAGATCGAGCCGTCCTTTCAGTCTGACTTTTCTGATCCCCACGAATGGCACAAACACACACACACAATAACTGTATATGCTCATCTCACTATCTGTCCATGTGTGTGTGTGTTTATGTGCTAGTTCCTGTGGATAAGAATCTCACATAAGGTGTTGTTTTTGCTCAAAATTCGATCTCCTCGAATCTGATTTGTTTGCACTCTGGTGATGAGCTTGGTCAATGCACACACACACACACACACACAAGCACAGCGTGTCAGAAGTTTAACTTGGATTTATAAGCAAGCATACTATTCACTCGGTGCGTTCTATCTGTGAGGCCCCGGGGTTGGATCCTCAGTTTGGTCGATGGATTCGCGCACTGACGATGAGACTCAACCGGGTCGAA